TGTGTGTGTGTGTGTGTGTGTGTGTGTGTGTTTTTGAGAGAGAGAGAGACCGACAGAGAAAAGAACAAAAGCAGTAGAATCTGGAGGGAGGGTATTTGACAGACCTTCATGAGGAATTAAATAGATTTGTCTAGCTACGTTTTATATTTTATATATAATCCTAACAAATGTGATGTGTTCATAACACGAGGGGTGTGTTCTGTGTTACCTCTCAGGGTTTTTTGGGGGAATAGTGAAACAGTTAAAGAGGAGGATGCTGAGCTCTTAAAAGGCAAAGAGATGATGGGATGGAGAGATAAACTAAAGGAGAAGCGGAGGAGGTGTTCTGTTGAGGCTTTTTGCCATGATTGAAAGAGACTGCTCTCTCTCTCTTTTGCCCTCCCGCAAAATCACCATTTCACCACCAAGATCCACTCAATCCCAGACGAAAATAAATATCCGCTGTGAGCCCCTGATGTGCTCAGTTTGTCATTTTAAAACAGGAAAAACAAAATCTGTCAAATTCATAAATCCAGTCAGTGTTTTGTTTTTTGGTGAATGTGATAATGACTTCTGTGACATGATAGCTGCAAAATATTTGAAAACAAGTGAGCAATTTATATTGAACTTAATACTTTAGATACTTATCAATGAAATGTACAACATCACAATCATTTAAATATTTTTACAATCACTTATATATTATTATATATTCTGGAGGACAGAATGTGTTATAAACCACATATAGTTTTATCTTGCCCTAATCTACACTTGGCTGGAAAAGCGTAGACACAGCCCACATAGGTGATGACAACAGGATGTATGTATGTCAAATGAAAGTCTTTAGTTTGCTCCCTAATGTGAAACCAAATGTGATCTTATGAAACGAGGATCTGGTTGCAGTGTTAGCTATTCCTTTGTGAAAGGAAAGAGTGAAAGAGTTTGTTTTACCTTTTTTCTGGACCAGCTTCCCCTGTCTTCTTAAACAGCACATGCACTGCTGGCTTTTGTTCCCCTCTCAGGGTTGACAACAATGAATTGCCTAAAAGGTATGTAAATAATGGTCATTTGCAGAGCTTGTAAAAATACTCACGAGATTGCAAGTTGAACACCAGTTGGCAGTAAAGACTGGGTTGGATGCCCTAATTGAGAACATGACATAAATGATCATCTAACCCACATTAAGGACTTTGTCATGATGCAAACGACAACAGTGTCTCTGTCAGATTTGCTTATGTGACACTTACCCAGTCAGTTGTGAACTGGCTGTGAGGGTCAGGTACCATCAACATTGGCTGGAGTGGGAGACATCTGTAGAAGATGGAAAATGTTACATTCAACATACAACTTTTTTTATTACGTGCATAACAAGCAAGTTTCCCCCCCTGGGTGGAGGAGAAAAGCAACATGACACATTTAACCTTGTTTGTTGAAATATATCTGCAGCTAATGGTAAAATAAAACATCCTCTCTTGTATAGACTTTACAACAAATCCACGATCACCTTTTACATCTGATATTTGAATAAATTGCAAATTAACATAACTGGAATGACCAAACTAGCTAACACAACACTAGAAATTTAATCCTGTGGCTGCTAAAATGAAAACAAATTGACACATCACTGATGGAGGCTGAACATTTTATGCACACAACAGCTGAAGGGGAGCATGCTAACGTTACTGGACGACATTTCCATGCATGTTTGCAACATGCAGCTAACACAAATAATAGCAAGCAGTGATTTTGACTTTTATCATTTCAGCAAAATCAATACAATGAAACTTAAACAAAAAGGAAAAAACAGGGAAATGCTGTTAATATTGTTAGCTGTTTATAAGATTGGAGTTATCCTCATAAGTAAACCAGGAGCAGATGGATGAGCAGCAGGAGGTAGACCTAGTATCCAATTCTATGCTGTCAGTCATTGTGGAAGTCATCATCTTCATTTCCTCCTCTTCTTAGTGTTCCTTCTATCATGACTAAAAATCAGTCTGGAGTATTTAATGCCTATTGTGTTCCTATATGTCGACAGTGCTAAATTAAGTAATGGGACTTGATTCAGCATGAGTTGCCCAAATTAATTGTGGTGGAACCAAAAATACTGTGTTATACTGTAAATTTGGACAGTAGCTTGCTGTAAATGTTTCCCTCCTGTAAAGGCATCAACAGTAATAGCATTCAACTGTATCTAAGAAAAACAGTACATTACTGTTCCCTGTATTTTAAAATCAGTTTGTTACAGTGTCAAGTGGCCCATGAGGTAAATGGTGAATATGGTCTCAAATAACACAAAACAAACACAGACCACCTTTGGTTGACATGTGGTATTGCTATGGCTTACTTGCGGCCCAGATCTGGCTAACAGAAGCAGACCGTCCAAGTGCCATCATTTCACAGGGGTTGCGGGCCAGACGTGTGATGTGTGGGATGTAGGTTAAATCTTGGCCAAAACCTGTTTTGCTTTGATCAGAAGAGCTTCTTGTGTGATGATCACTGACACTGCTGGGCTGGTTATGATTTTCAGTGAAAGACACCTGTCCTTGTTAAAACTGTCGTAAATGTTGTCTTGCAGTGATACATGGGCTGGTCATATTGAACCAGGTTGATAGATGACACCCATTCAGTCAGCCTACTACTACATTTTATGTTTACACATTATTGGTGTGTGAGAACACTTTAAGAACACCCGTTTGTGGTTTTCGTTTTTTTTTGCACAGACTGGGTCATAATGTCTTCAAAGACCTTTGACCACTGTGATGTCAAAGGACTTGTTCAGCCCACAATGAAAAATTGCATGGCGAAATGCCGTTAAAGTTTATAAACTGTAAAAACCAAACACACAGCAGAATACTGCCGCAGTTCCATCACAACGTTTTCTCAAACTATTAAAGTTAATGGAGCCGTCACTTTACAGCCCAAAAGAACATAAAATGCCTATCAAATTTGCAATGTGTGGTTGTTTGTGGAGCTGTGAAAAGGTGGCGCTGCTAGCTTGAATAATGTGGGATAAGCTGTGAAAATACATGAAGTAATCAACTGTACAGGAGAAATATACATTTTTGTACTAACAAGGGATTTTTCACTCATGAACAATAATAAAGGCTAATAATGGGCCTATATTTATTTTTGTTAGCTTAGCACAAAGCCAGTAAAACAACCAGCCTGGCTTTGTGTGCAACTAAAATCTGTCTCACGTCGTCTCTAAAGCCTAAATGATTAGTAAGCTTAAGAGGTACCAGGTGGATCATTTTTACATTTGGACTGAGCAGGACTATCATATGACCCTGGTTAGTCTTTATGCTGCTAAGCTGCTAGGCATATTTATGGTAAATGGTCTGTATTTATATAGAGCTCTTCTAGTCATGATAATCACTCAAAGCGCATCTATGGGCAGCACGTTTTTCTATGATTGAATGCAATTTGGAGTTCAGTATCTTGCCAAGGACACTTTGGCATGCAGATGGGGAAGACTGAGATCGAACCGCCGACTTTCTGGTTAGAAGATGACCCTTACCACACAGAGCAGACATGAGAATGGTATTAATCTTGTGTTTTGGAAAGTGTTTTTCCAAAATGTTCAACTCTTTTAAAGTAAGTACCATATTTCACACTTCTGTTATGTTTAATTATAAGTTTTAATTTCCATAAAAAGATATATTTGTGGTTATAAGAACCAAAAACCATCTCAATGTAGTTTTACATCCTAGATAGGATTGATTGCAGATGAGAGAATGGAGTGGAAAGAGGATTTAACAGTGTGACTGGTGTAAAGCATGGGAAAATCATGGTTGAAATATGTTTTGCCTGGGCAGCAGCTACAGAGACAAAGCTATGGAGAAGTTTTTTCATTTTTTTTATATCTGAGCTCTGACTCCAGGGCGCTGGATTTAATCTCTGAGCTATGAGTAAGCAAGTTTGGAGTCTGCATATAATAACAGCTGGTTTTCAGTGTGAGTAACATAAAAACAACAGGACTGGTAAAACAGTAAAATATATATATATATATATATATATAAACATTACCAATAGTTTGAAATAGATTGAATATTAAGCAGATTTTAGCTAAACACAGGAGAGAACTTTTGCAAGGCTAGACATTGAGTCCTGGTGGGCAGTGAGCATATCTGAGCCAAAATGCTTGTGTGGACAGAGATCATTGTAGAGTCTGTTTTCAAATGTGAAATGCAGGAGCCAAGTTAGAAAACAAAAAGTGTCCTTTAATAAAAGGAACTAACAAAAAAACTGTCCAAAAACAGAAAAAACACTGGAAACTAGAAAATGACTCAAACAAGGCTAAAACTGAAAAAATCTGAAAACACTAGGAAACAAGAAGACACTGGAAACATGGAGAATACACTAGAATGTGAAAAAAAAACAGGACAAACCATTGACGTGGGAAAGGCAGACGACGACGACCAACTGACCAGGACCAAGGGAAGCACAGAGACTTAAATACACAGGGTTGATGACACAGGTGAAACACATGAGGAAGTGGTGCAGGAAAGGGGCAGGAAACAGGAAAAAGACAGGAAGTTAAGTTGGAGACACACAAGGAATACGACTTCAAAATAAAACAGGAAACACAGAGTGAACACAAATCCAAAAACAAGGAAAACACAGGTCAAGTTAATAAACAAAAATCAAACCTAATCAGCCAGAAACCAATGTGGTCAGTTAAGTTTTGGTAGATGTGCCTGTAAAAGAACATCATCAGCAGCACTGACTCTTCAGTCACAGACCTCTAGCAGGTCTAATGAGCATGAAGAATGAACATCAATAAATGTAATTGCTCTCAAGTGAAATACATTTACTCTTACGTAAAGAATTAAGAATTTATTATAGATCATCTGTTCTCTGTTTAATAAATTACTTCATCATCACCGATTGTTGGTGCAAGGATAATACTGTTCTTAGTTCTTAGTGTTCTCAGTTCTCTCAATTGTATTTACAGTATATTTACTTTTTGTACAACACAATGAAATCATACAATTTCATAACTTTTTGATTAGAATAGTAGGTTCAACAGATATGTTTAGGAAATCATTTCATTTTATTCGGTAGCATACAGATGTGGGCCACTTCAGGCAAAGGTGGCCTGCTTGTCGCCCAGACAAAATGGATGTGAGTCTAATCTTGCTTATACTTGTAAAATAGCAAATTTGGCCCAAATAGCCAGAAACAAATTTGGCCTTTTTTGCATAATATGCAGTGCTCCATGCAAGTTGTACTTTAGATTTGAACCTAAAGTGATCCATGTGGTAAATGGGCCACCTTTGGCTCCTGTGGTTGACATACTGTATCATATATTGCTATTATTGCTATGGCTTACTTGTGGCCAAGATCTGGCAAACAGAAGCGGGCTGCCCAAGTGTCGTCACTCCGTGTTGCATGTGGGTCGGACATGGGATGTGGGCCACATCTGGGCCAAAACAATTAGGCTATGTGGGGCCGATATGAAGGAAAACCTGTGTTGTACTAATGTATTTATACAACAACAAAATTGTTATATTTTAATTATGTAAGAGGCATCCATACAAACACAATGTCACCAGTCACAAGTCCACTATTTTTTGTGCTTGCAACTGTGATTCTATGGCTCCGAAACCCAGAGGTGGTCACTGAGGTTGGTCAGAGCAGCACAGCTAAGGCTGTGTTTGTGTTGATAAGATAACGCGGTGTCATTTCAGTGGCTGGTTTGTCATGAGGATTCCACTGACTCAGACCACCTCTTATTGAGCCTGGACTGCCCATTATTTAAGTCTGGCCCAGCTTCACCTGCTGATAAAGAATTCCTCCCACAGGTACTAACAATTTCCTGTGCTGTTCGGTGACAGCGCGGTGCTGGTGCCTCTGGTCTCCAAAAACTTCTTAAAAAGTGGTCAACCACACCCGGTTTGCACTCTAAGATTGCGGATAAGAAAGCCCATTAGATTGATCACTGATACAATATTAACCTGTATGTGTTGTGTGTGTGTGTAGGAGTTTGCCACCCTGACCAAGGAGCTGAACATATGCCAGGAGCAGCTGCTGGAGAAAGAGGAGGAAATATCAGAGCTGAAAGCTGAAAGGAACAACACAAGGGTATGTGTGTGTGTCTGAGTGTGTG